AAAAAAAAGTCATAGGGGAGCCTTTTTCTTTAAAAATAAGTACGAAAAAAATTTTATAGGTTAAAAATAATTGAGGAAAAATAAAAGTTAAAAATATTATTCTTGCTATTGGTAAAATACTCAAATTTACACCAAAAATATAGTTGTAGGGATGGATCTACCTCCGAATAAAAAGAAGAGACAAATTCACCTACAAAGTTTTTTACTTTGATAAATCACCTCAAATTTAACATATAACGTCATTTGACGTCAACAATCCGTTAGTTTTTTATGTCACTAATAAGCTTATTGTTAACAGATTGTTGATATCAGATGACATTACACATTAAATTTGGAGTGATTGGTCTAAATCAAAAATTTTGTTGATAAATTTGTCTTCTTTTTATCTTCTTTTTTGTTTAAGAGTGGATCCGTCTCTATCACTATATTTTGAAAATGGCTTTGGATATTTTGCCTATACCTTATTTACAGTAATCTTGAGGCATGTAAGAATCAAAATATCCTTACAAAATCTTGGAGGTATTTCCGGGAAAAGTCAAAGGGATAAAGCTAACTACAGTCCCTCTACTTTCAACTTTCATTCATTGTTCTCTCTATACTTACAAATTGTTCAAAATCCTCCCTCTACATTAACTTCCATTACATTTACCTCCCTTCCCTGACACAACCCTAACACCATTTATAACTCCCATTAATAGAGGAATCTAGACCTGGCAATTTTTTACCCAACCCGTTAACCGGTCCGTTACCAACCCGTTTAAAATGGGTTAGGGTCAGATGTTCATGACCCGTGACCCGTTAATAACCCGTTAACAGAACCCGACGGGTAATGGGTCAATAACAGGTTGACCCAACGGGTTAACGAGCTTGACCCGTTTACTTATCTGAAAAGTAAATATTTTTTAATTTATTATTTATATATTTTATTTCCTAATTTTCAAATCTCAATCTCACCTAAATCCCTAATAAATAGCTGATTTTACCTAATTGGTTACTTCTCTCGGCTCACCATCTTCAAGAAGCCAAAAAATTCCCAGACTCCTAATGTCCCACCCCACAACTCATCATCTCAGTGATCTCACGACCTTTCCTGTTCTTCCTCTAATATTTTCAAAAACTCTAACTCTTCCAACTCTCCTCAGATTCTCCATGTTTCTGCACTTTTCTTGTCATGTTTCTGCATGTTTCTACATTTTTTGGTATCTTTTTTTGCTCATTTTTTCTG